CTGCTAGTGTTCCAGAGTCGTTACCTCTCAATCCTCACATCTGTCCTGTGTTCACTTTCTGAGTTAACAAATTGCGGACAGCTTTTCTACTACTTCTATTTTTTTCACTTTTTTTATGGGGTATGTGCATACTGTCTAGAACGTGTCTTGAGAACTCTAGGACATTAAGAAAAATAAATAGACCATATGGTACTGCACATAGAGGACAATGTATGACACACCTCGTGTGTCACGCGGCTCGGAACGTGCTGAACAATCCCTCATGATCCATAGTCACTACTAATATTTTCTTCCTTGGAAGCTTGTAATCCTGGGGATTCTAGAAATTTCTATATAGAATCCAGCGAATCATTCAATTGTTATTGGCTGAATCACTTTTTAACATGTGACCTATTTATGCTTTGTCTACTCCTAGTGATGAGTCCCCTAATGACAAACTCGACATTAAATTTCTTGATTCATCAAAATAACTATATAACCGGCTTCGAAGTAACAGAACATTTACTTCATGGCCAACTTTTCCCTGAAAAGAAAGCCGAACTCGGTAAAAGTTTCACTGTTTAACTCTCAGTGTGTAGATCACTTCTAAATACCTAACAGGTAACTGCTCCTGTCATTTTATGTGCGTCGTTTCTATTTCCGCTCCAACCATTCCACTTCACACAGCCTTCCTGAAGACCAGCGAAAACAAACTAGTACTTGAACGTACCGTAATCGAAGCTGTTAAAAGAACAGAACATTGTGACGGTTGTCTGAGAGTTTAAATCCTAATTTCTGATCTATAGCCGGCTGATCGTGTGGTAAAGTGCTTGCCTTTTTGGTTACTTGCTGTTTTGTACTTTTTCTTCATTTCTCCTTGAAACTCTTTGTGACTTTGTCTACTTCTTCACATTTCGAGAATGCGTAGGAGAGCTAGTAATACTTCGCGCTGGAATTCGAGGGTAGACGATATATACCGTTACTATGGGATGAGTCCCTTAGGAGCAAGGCTGTAAGGCTCAAAACATTCGCTGGCGCGCTTACATCCCGTGCTCCTATTAAAGGAGCGGTCCGCGATGACCTACGAAAATGCAAGAGGTTATGCGGGAAGGTATTGCGGTCCGTTTGAAGTGGACAAGCGCCTGTCTAGTTCGCGGCAGAAAGTTGTGTGGAAAGGAACTGAAGGCGCAAAGTTGCTTCAGTGGTACATCCCTTTTTCCAGTGACTCCGCCTCCAGACTCCGCCTCCAAAGTCGGCCTTCCAGCCAAAAGTAATGCTCCCGGGCAAGTATCATGGAGTGGATGCATTCAATGTCTCTTGTAGAGTCACATGGTTCATTACTGGGTCTCAGCCGACAGGAATGTCCCCAGCGCGCGTCTTTTCGCTCTATTTCCATCTACAGTGTTTGAGGCTAGGAGGAGGCTTGAACGAATGGCGTTTCACGCTCCCTTTGTATTTTTCAAATGTTCACTTGGCGTAATTTTCTTTTCCAATTCTTCAAATCACCTTGGCTTTTTATCGCAAACGCGGTGCCTTGTAAACGAGTCGAAGCTGCCGAGTTTTGTGGGCTCGGTGTCGCACTGTCTGCTCGGCCAGGTTGCTAGTCTACTTTATGCCGCAGTTCATTTCTGTCTCCTTCTGGTACGTGCCCCTGATCTTTTTCAAGATATTCGCTAGCGAAAATGCTCCGCAACTAGGCCCTTGGTTAGGGTGTTCAATGGCACTCCCCCTGTTCATCTGGAACTACCTGGTAGTTCTGTGCGCAAGCACAGAGGATGTACGCTTTTGCACCCAAAAGTACATGAGACAGCGCGACCCGCTTGGCAATAACTAGCCGCCCCCCTCCCACTGGCCACGGCAACGCCCAACTTTCATTTCTGAAAGTATCCTGATGGCGCGGTTTCAGCTACTATTTCTCTCTGCTTTGAATGGTGAGATGAGATAAAGAGGAAGAGGTGATATCGCTGTTACACCAGCGAGTGAAGACTCGTCCGATCACGCCCCTCTTCATCTTATTCCTACAAGCGCGGAAAGAGCATAGGATTCTATATGGGACATTCCCGACTTAATTTTTTTTCTGCCTGTCTCTTCCTTACTGTGTTAATTACCACATTGCAATTAGAGTTCGAGCTGCAGAACACACCCCACTTTTGAACCCGGAGCCTGCTTCTAGAGGCAGAGCCCGCGATAATTCCCCATAACAGATACCTGATTAGTGGTTTGCATATAGACGACAGGGTGCTGAGTAACTCAATAGTGAAGAAAAAAAAACAGAAAAAAGACATGCCAACTGCCCTAAATAGAACCCCGTTTCGTTCCCACTGTACGTGCCCAATGAACTCCTTCCCACTATGTACGTGCCCAATGAACTCCATCTCCACACTATGCCCTCATCCGCATAGCTGATTCCCCGATAAGAACTCTACGACCACGCAAGTGACGATTTTCATGCTTTTTCGTCCTGCAGCTTCGTTTTTCACTGAAAGGCGGGCCTTGAAGGCGGAGTCTGGAGGCGGAGTCACTGGAAAAAGGAGGCGTCACTGAACCTACATTAGTCTATAGCGCCCCTCCCTTACAATTCAGGAAAAACATTTCCCCATTTTCCTTATCAGGCTTTACCCCCAACGATTCGCAACAGAGAAATGTGCCTTTGATCGCCTAGATTATTTGTCATTTGAAGTCCAAAGAAGCCTTCTCAATCCCGCTATTTAGAGACTTCCTTTTCTGAGCCTTCGAAATGTGCCATATATGACAGCTCTTTTTTCTTGAATCTCAAATAAACATTTCACGACTCATTTCCAGCGATGACAAAAGATAGCCAGCAATTCGTAGCCGCAAGCTGAACAAACATTTGTTCGGCGGTGGTCGTTTTGAAGTGGTCAAGCGTTCCAGACCAACCAATCAACCCAATTCTGATTATGATCTGATTTCAGATGTTGCCTTATATCTTTCTATTATTACTGCCATGGGTATTATGTGATGTTGCCAATTACGGTACCGTACCACGAGGTCTCAATCCAACGCTCTATTCACCTGAAGACTTGGTTATTCAACTCGACGACAATACATTTAACGATACGATATACTGCACCAACAACAGATGTACATCATATTTAGTAGAAGTAAGCCAATTTCAGTCTACAGTTTTTTTCAGTTCAGAACTACTTTTTTCATTACACTGTTAATTTCACAGAGTAATACTGAGAAAATAGAGGAGAGTATATCAACCGAGTGGGTCATTCCTCTCTGGAACTGATGAGGTCGTATCCTTTCATATGCCTTCTGCAGCCTTTCTAAATAGATGTGGTCTTAAAGGCACATTTCTCAGTTACTTACATGAAACAAGTCTTGGGCGGAGAAAGGTGTGTGGGCCACAGTGAGCAATCTGTACCGGTCAGAAAGTTGTAAGGTAGAGGTGAAGCGGAATAACACCACAGAGAGGGGGGAGGCATGGAGAGAGATGATTCACTTTCATGCCACGGGGTCCCTCTCAACCCCTTGACCTCAAACTTGTGTAACTAAGCTCTGCCTAGTAAGTTGCTAATACATACCAGGAAAGGAAAAAAACAAGTGAAGCCATCACACACGTATGAAAGTA